CCCCCCCAAAAAAAAAAAAGAAGCTCTTCTAGTTGTTAGTCTTCGTGCTAGCCATTTACTTCTAGTAGAAAAAGTTAAAAGACTAGAACACGTATAAATTCTCAACGAACAATCATTTTGCAAAGTAGAATTCTCCTATGTATCAATCAGTATATACTCTTAGATGAGCTACTGAACTTATCAAGCTTAATAAACTGAGAAATAAGGAACATTAAAAGTCATTCCATCTTGGTTGAACTAAACTGAATAGAAGGACAATATTTCTCTTCAGAGCTATTTCAGGCTGGGTAAACCAAAGCATCTTCTCCCTTGCTCCTTTGAAGAAACAGAAGGCAAGATGGAGCTCAAAACATGGAATGCATGGTTTAGCTAAAACAATAGTACAAGAGAGTTGCACTTGGAGAGTACAACTGTAATAGCCCACGGCTGGTGGTTGAGCTCGAAAGGGGGTTCGCGCTGTAACTTGCCTTAGGCAAATCCCACATAGGAACGAGGAGGGGAAGTTAGGGGCCATATGAGGGTGAGTGTAACAGCCTGACGATCACTAGCGGTTGAACTTCAAAGGGGGTTCGCAGCAAACTTGCCATGGAAAGTTCCACATCGGAATGGGAGGGGAAAGTTAGGAACCATATGAGTGCGAGTCTAGATACAATTGAAGCGCTTTTTGGGTTAAAGCCCAAGGGGACAAATCGTGATGCTTAGAATCCTTGAGGTGGCCCAGAGAGTTTGGGCCTAAGGGAACAATACCTTGGCAGTTGACCCTGACCCTGGACGTGACAACATCTTTGTGATGGATCAATAATATGTTTACCTTATATGTGGATTATGTTCATGGGACGTGGGAGTAACAAAGCAATTCGCGTTGTAGCTTCTATGATAATTAGATAGGACGATTTTCTGTTTGATCACTCAAATGTTCGACTAAGATAGTAGTTTTTTTAGATTATGAGCAATTTTTCTACGAGTAAATTTTATAATATTTCAGAAGAAATTATTTTGTTTGGAAATAAGTTCAAAAGTTAAGTGCAAGAAATTCTTTTTGGACTATTTTAAAATTACGTTGAAGAAATTAGGTCATATTTAAGAAAAAGTTGTTAATAAATCCTTACACAACATAGTTATTACTTGAATTGATTAACTTACATCCCAATTAGTAGCTAACATATCAGTAGACAGTGTATCAATTTGCAACTCGCTTATGGACTAGCATTGAAGTTCATTTAATTGTTCTATTCCTTGATGCTGCAGTTTATAAGGTTTTTAAGAAGAAGTGAAGGAGTTGAAGCAGCTCGCAAATACTTTCTTGATGCACGGAAATCTCCAAATTGCACTTACCATGTCTATGTAGCTCACGCGATGATGGCTTTTTGTCTTGACAAGGATGCAAAGGTGATTAGGACTATCTTAATTTCAAATGTTCCAAGCATGGGATAGGTGCATGGAACTTGATAGGGAATTCTGTATCTAGAGAATATGTCTGGAATTCTAAAGCTATCGCCCACAAATTCGTGTATTATAATTTCATTATCTGTTGGATCGTACATGTTGAATTTTTGATATTTTAAACCAAATTACGCAATCCTAACTCTTTCATTTCAAATTTAATTGGTCTATGATATGCATTTATTTTTGTATATGCATTTAGATGATATGCATTTATTTTTGTGCATTCATGCAGATGGCGCACAATGTTTTTGAAGCAGGGTTGAAACGCTTTATGCATGAGCCTGGATACATCCTTGAGTGAGTCTCCTTTTCTTCTAAATAATAAATGCTATTGTGGAGGAGTGATTGCATGATGTTCCCGTGAAATCAGGAAATTAGGATTTCTGTCGTAAAAGTTTTGCCATCATTTTGAGAAGAGGTAAAGGTTAAATTAGTGATAGCCCTTATTTAAAAAAATGCTATCAAACGTTTTTCTTAATGGTGTGCCAAAACATTAAACGACCTTCAAAAAACCGGAGGGAGTAGTTTTAAAACATGCAACACAGGTATTGGTGACATTCTGCCTGGGAACAAGTAGCAAGGTTTGCTTTCTGTTCTGCTCTGAGCGCAAATAACCATGAGCTAATTAAATTTTGCAGGTATGCAGATTTCCTTTATCGTTTGAATGACGATAGAAACATCAGAGCATTATTTGAACGTGCATTGAGCTCACTCCCCCCAGAGGAATCTGTTGAGGTTTTTTTTCTATTATTTTCTTAATTGTCCGATATTGCAGTTTTTGCTTGTTTTCAGAGTGTCTTTGGACGAGTAATGCCGGTTTAGAAATTGTACAATTCTTCCCTTTATGTGTGCTCATTGATGTGATTCGTTGGTTTTACTTACTTTTAAGTGGATGAGCCTGAGTTCATCTCTCGTATGTTTGGTGATTTCTTTCTGCTAATGATTCAAAAGATGTGGAAGGTCACATTCTAAGTATCCTTTGTGTTTTTACTGTACATAGCTCATATATTTCACTGGGATTTCCTTGTCTTATCTGCCTGATAGCATGTACTGATGTAGCACTGTTCAAATGTTAGTGTAGAGGTTGTACTGCTCCAAAATTAAGACGCAGATCGCTAAGTGCTTCTCAGCATTTTTGTATTCCGGACTAATTTTCTTCCCTCTATTGGTGTAATATATCCAGTCAAGAACTCCAATAATATAAGCTAGGTGTCATTATGCTGATGTGAGACTGTTAGCTCTGGTTCTTAGGCTTGTTGGAGTCTTTTTGATCATGTGGTGTCAGGACTCCTAAAGTGGGAAAGCTGGAAATTCTAATTTAAATATCTTGTACACGACCACTCTTCTCTGTTTTCAAAATCTAACATTCTTGTGACCGCTCTTGCTTAAATGACATCGTACTGAAATAATATACCTATTCTTTATGTAGGTTTGGAAAAAATTCACTCAATTTGAGCAAACGTATGGAGATCTTGCCAGCATGTTGAAGGTAAATTTATGTAACATACAGAAAATTTGATGCAATACATTCTCTTGGTTTTTCTTTTGAACTTTGTGGATTATTTTCTAGTGCAAATACAAATTAAACTAGTTTGGTTTGAACTATTGGTATGTCCAGGTGGCAAATCCTCTAGATCGTATTCCTTTTTGCATTTAACAAGTATTGGTATCCACCAACATAAGAACTCTAACTACTTGATTACTTTCTTTGACCATTAAAGAAATATGCTAATGAAATGAACTTAGGATCAGTTTCAGTCAATCTGTTCAGCTAAACACCGGCAGGGAAGTTATATTCAGAATATCCCTCTTTGGAAGGCATATCATTACATACAGTTATTACATCTGCGTTCACCCTATTGCTTGTATTGGCAGGTTGAGCAGAGAAGGAAAGAAGCTCTTTTCAGAACAGGTGATGATGGAACATCAGAGTTAGAGAGTTCGTTACAAGATGTTGTATCACGCTACAGTTTCATGGATCTGTGGCCTTGCTCTTCAAATGACTTGGATCATTTAGCACGCCAAGAGGTTGTCAGCATATGTTTTTGTGTGTGTGTGTGTCACACAGTTTTTGATCTAGCAAGCAGAAGAGTCTGATATTCAGTTATTGTTACAAGGGCACTATTATCATTTTTCAAACGTTATCTTAACTTGCACTTTTTGCCTATTTGCAATTTTACCCTCCTTTCAGTGGCTCGCGAGGAACATCAACAAAAAAACTGACAAACCTACTCTTGGTATTGAGGCAGGTTCTGCAGGTATCATTGTTTGGTTGATTTAATACAGAATTAAACTCATGTTTTGAATTGTGACTATCTAACTCCTGGTCTCTTGATCTTAGATAAGATTTCTTCTGGTGTTTCGTCCAACACAAATCCCCTTGCCAAGGTTGTGTATCCAGATACTTCAAAAATGACAATTTATGACCCAAGGCAAATGTCAGGTATACTTTTGGAGCTTCTTATTCTATTCGGCGGTTCTTTGCTTAACAAGCTCCCAAACAAATATACTGTTTTTTCAAGTCCTGTGAAACAATTGTTTGACTCTGAAGTTTAAGGTGTGATTAACAAACTTAGGAATAAATGGTGCAATATGTTTTGACTTCTTATTCAATAAATTATGCTTCTTGATGTCATCAACAGATTCTCTTTTTCTGCTAAAAGGATAATTTCTAACCTTTTCGAAGACTTTGAATTTTTAAAAGAGTTGCACATGATTGAGATTTCAATCACACCTTCAGGTCACAGTTGCCTAAACTATATCCAGATAGGGTATAGTGAATAACCTTTTCTCAATTTTCATCGAGAACCATTTGAAATTTTATTATAAACTATAAGTTTGCATCTCTTTATGTTTGTTGGATGATTCTGGTTTTCCAGGTCCTGCTGCTCTTGCAGTTCCATCCGCTTCAGGCACCTTGCCTTATTCTGGTACTCCATTTAGCAGTGGTGGACCACCTAATGCTCTTAATGATATTCTGAAATCGTTGCCCCCTGCATTTGCAGCGTTCATGACAAATTTGCCAGCTGTTGAAGGTATAGTTCCAAGTTTTCCTCTTCCTTTCAATCAAATCTAACAGTCACTTAACCTTTGAAATCTTAATCAAGTGCTTTATAAAGGTTATTAAAATCGCTTTTACTCTTTTGTTAGCTTTCTTTTTTATTAAATTACTACCTTACACTTGCATGCCAATAGTGGTCTACCAATTGAAGAAGGCGCGGCATCTTTCATGGAAAGACTCTGGAGCTTCCTTTTTATTTAAATGTCGGAATTGCCATGTGTGATTTTAGTTCAATTCCTTTCTTCCATTCTACTTCCTTTATATGATGTCTGCTTTTGTGTGTGGGGGATCCAATAGGTCATCAATTGAGTCTGCTGCAGGTGGGCATAGATCTGGAGAGAAGATTTTTTTTTTATGTGAATGTTTTGAGTGTTTTAATCTCAACTTTAAATGAAAATCAGCAGTCAAATGAAATAGCAACATAGTATATGAAAATGATCGGACTGGAGCTAAATTAGTTGCACAAGGTCACCTTGGTGTTATAGTTGTCTAATAAGGAGATTATATCTAAAACTATTGAAGGACAGTAAAAGGTGAAAAAAGAACTAACTTTTTTTCTTAAACATAATCTAATTGACTAATTGTACCTATACTTTTCTTAGATGCCTCAAAAAAGACAAGAGAATCGGTAACTTGAGTACATGCTGTTAAAAGTGCTTTTTACAGAATTTCCCATATTGCAAATTATCCTAAAATGCTGTCTAAATATCGAACTTCCACAAACAGCAATTACCTCTCCTGGAGGATAAGGCTGCTAATTGCTTCCTCTATTGGAAAGTATGTGTTGCTCCTTAATAACTTGAGTTTTCCCTGGAACTGCTAGGTCCTACTCCTGATGCTGATTTTGTGATATCCGTATGTTTGCAAAGCAACATTCCTTTAGCAACCGGAAAATCAGGAACCGCCTCTCTGCCGTTGCAGTCAGGCCCTGCTCCATGTACGAGTGACATCTCTGATTCAAGCAAATTCAGGTCGAGAGACAGACAGCCTGGAAAGAGGAAAGACATGGACAGTAAGTAAACATTTTCCTATGAGATGCTTATGTTTTTGCTCATGCTATGCCCGGGAATGTGTCTCATCACTGCCCCACTGTTTCACCAAATCATTGTTTGTTTTCACTTTTCGCTCTTCACATGCAGGCCTGTTTAATTCCTATTATTCGCTTCATGTAATCCACAAACTACTTATTCCCTACTGTTGTTTTTGAAGTTTGCAATATGTGGCCATGCCCATATATGCCTTCGCATCTTGATGCTAAATATAATGTGTTGTTTATAACATACAAAGACCTGGTTAATTTGTTGCAGGGCAAGAGGATGATGAATCGTCGACTGTACAAAGCCAGCCCCTTCCTAGAGATGTTTTCAAGATTCGCCAATTACAGAAAACCCGTGTTGCTAGTTCGTCTCGAGTTACTAGTTCATACACTGGATCGGCGTCGTATGGCAGTGCTCTTTCTGGAGACCTCTCGGGCAGCACTGGTTGATAAATTACAAAACCCTGCCGTTTGTTTCTGGTCATTCTATAGTGCACTTTATTTGCAAAGATGGAGTAATATATATCATTACATGTCAGTATAAAGAACTGTTCCCTGTTCAAGAAAGCTATACATGCAGCAAAGAACGCTCTTCGTCTCTGCGTTTCCTTTCGCAACAAGAGAACTGCATCCACATCAGTCAGTGGTGGAAGGTTTCCGAGAAGGTGTCGGCCTCTAGCCCAACAATGGAGCTAGGTGTATACAACATGTCGATATTTCTTTCAAAAGTGAGATACCGGCTTTCATAAAAGCGATATATTATGTAAAGTAACTGACTGAGAGACATAACAGGACATTGTTCTGGTGGTTACTTTATCTACAGTCTAGCTAGAAATGATAATCTTATTTCATAGTGTGATGGAAATATTTATTTTTGTTTATGTTGTTGCTTTCTGGAATTATGAATTTGTTCACTTGTATTTAAAGACCTTTTATTGAAGTTGGACTTTGTGCGTGAAGACTAGTGAGAAGCATTTGATATTCCTGTTGTAATGATTTCCACATAATGTCTCAATGTCTTTAAAAAAAAATTAGAAAGATTTAATATCTAAATAAAAATTATACTAATTAAAAGGTACTCCCCTATGTTCCATTTATGTGAGGCATTTTTCTATTTAATAATTTGTTTAAAAAGGAGTGATATCTTTCTCTATTAAAAGATAATTTAAATTTAAACTTTTCATTTATTATTAATGAGATAATTTATAGTCACAGTAATATTTGTAGCTTATTCTAAATAATAAATTTTAAAAATCTTTCTTTTAAAAACTGTATCCTATCTAAGGAAAGAGATACAAGCGAAAATCACTGCATGTTTAAGAAATGATCCTCCTCTTAAGAGCAGAGGTAATTGAATTAACATAAACTTTAATTAATTCAAGGAGCAAAAAGAAGAGAAGAATAGATTGCAATGATTATTCATACGAAGCATTGAAAGAGAAAATGACTGGGTTTACTCTTGTTTAATTTTATGACCTATTTTATTTAAAGAGTTAAAAAACTTTTCCTTTGACAAGAATTTTCTTGCATTTTCAAATATTGAGTATTAATTACAAAAAAATGCGACTTCTAGTATTGATTAACATCCCGAACTAATAATGAACAATTCTTGATAACATAGTATTATTTATTTTTTGATAAGAAGTAGTGGTCAAATCAATTCCACCTTTTGATTGGTTGGACGGCAGCAAGAAGTCATAAACACGTAGATCACATGTTCAAGTTTTTGCCAAATACAATCAAGTTAAGTAAAAATTAAAGAAAGGTTTAATTAAAAAAAAAGAGTATATGTACTAATCATATTACTATTAGAGGCTGATGGAGCATATAAAGAATGAATGCATCAAATTTATATCTTAAATCGGCCTGCCTCTAATTAAAATGCAAATTATAGAACCTAACGTATACCATTAAATGGAGTAAAATAATTACACAAATAAATTAGTAACATAATGCAAACTATAGAGCCTAACGTGTACCATTTTGTTCCAATCATTTTCCTGTTGAAAATCGTAGAATTTTTCTTTTCTTTTTTGTGACCTCAAATTTGTGGATTGGAGATTACCTATTCCGTTAAAGAAGGGAAACACGAATCTAGCTGATGTTTACTTAAGTAATCTTTTAATTTCCTACAATTTTGGACCGACTTTCCTACAAGCTATTTTATATAATCTCCGCGTATTAATTTTTCTTAGTATTATAAACAGACTTTTCTCCTTATATATAATTACAAGAAGTACTCCTCCAATGGTTAAGGAAAACAAAGAAGCTTTAGCTAAATCTGGCCTTTGGAAGATCCCAAAGGACGTGAAAAAGATCGTTTTTGTTTTGCTTTTGTTTTTTGGGAGCTAGGGGGCTGGGTTTAGAGTACTAGAGAAAAAAAGGGTAGGTCGTTGGAATTATGAATGACATTACTGCATACCTAAGAAATCGTCCTGCATTTTAGAGCAATATTATTGGAAGTAATTGAATCTTTAATTCAAAAACAAAAAAGAAGAGAAAGGCGATTTTTCTTCTTTTTTTTTTTCTTTTCCCGGAGCTAAGTAGTTTCTACTATTGATTACCATTCCAAAATTGATAATGAAGAATTCTTCCCTTTTATTTTTTCCAATAAAGATAATGTTTGAATTCACTTACACGCTTCTCGATTAATTTACCAGATATTTATGTTGAGTTGTCCTATATCAGTGAGATTTGAGGTCCTTGGTCTTGGACAATCCTTACCTCATGAGTTAACTTTTGGTTGAGTTAGATCTAAGGTTCACTTCTTTATTGATCTGTATTGGGCCCTCATATTATGTTGTCCACCTTCTTGTGCTGAGAGTCTATCGAAAACAGTCTCTATACCTCACATGGTAGTGATAAGGTAAACGTACACACTACCCTCTCCAGACTCACTTGTGGGATCATATTGGATTGTTGTTGTTGGTATATATTATGTTGTCCACGTTTCAGTTTGCTGAACGTGTGGGGAGGGGTGAGGGGCGAAAGGGGTGTTGAGTTTTCCTACACCGGTGTAATTTAAGGTATTTGATCTCCTTATATGGTCTTACGCAATAATCCTCAACACAAAAATTAGTTTTTGGGGTTGTGTTAAAGTGTAAGTTCCATTTCTTTTGTTATCTTGTACTAACTATACACTCCCTTGGAGGCTTGAAAGAATTCTTCCTTTTATTGTGTGGCAACTTATATAAACAGAACCATAAAGTGAAGATGATTGAAAAATTAGTCCAAGCTCGGCCATGCATTATGCTGATTTTAACATAAAGAAAAAAGAACATATGATGGTTTAATTAATTAATCTAATTAAAATAAATATTGTGTGTTTGTTCAAGAATCCCGCCAGCTAATGAGGAAATATTTAAATACCCCACATTTTGATTGGTTGGAATGCTGCAAGAAGATATCACGTGTTCAAGTTTTTGCCAAATACATGTACAATCAAATTATATAAAGAAAGACTTAACTAAAAAGAGGATGCTAATCAAATCACCATATATTCACATATAATATATATTGAGTAAACTAAAGCACTACTAAATTACTACGTAATATAATACAAACTATAGAGCCTAACGTGGACCACTTTGTTCCTATCGTGTTCCTGTTGAAACACAAATATAATCTTGCTCAAAAGGTGTATATATTAAATTAAATGTTTCTTTTCATACAAAAACAGTAAAATCGAGTACTAGCTAGAGTATTTTTGTCACGATCCGAAATTTCCATCTTCGAACCGTGATGTCGCCTAACATTTCACTTGCTAGGCAAATCAACGTTAGAATAATATTATCTATTTTTAAAATAATTTTTATATTATTAATAATCAAGAAAACAAAAGCGGAAGCAAAGTTTGAAATATAGTGAAATAATCCATAAAAATAACGGTGTCTAAATACCATCCCACAATTGGTGTCACAAGTGCACGAGCTTCTAGAATAATACAAATAAAGGTCCGAATAAAATAAAGCTGTCTGAAAATAAAAACACAGCTAAAGTAAAATAGATGAGGACTTCAGAACTGCGGACGCCATGCAGTTATACCTCAAGTCTCCTCCGAATAACTGAAATCCGAGCAAGTCTATGGTACACCGCTGGGACCAACTCCGAAATCTGCACAAGAAGTGCAGAGTGTAGTATCAGTACAACCGACTCCATGTACTGATAAGTGCTGAGCCTAACCTCGACGAAGTAGTGACGAGGCTAAGGCGGTTCACTTACATTAACCTGTACGCAATATTAATAACAACAACAAATAATAGAAATAAATCAAGTAACTCATTTATAATAATTGAAACCAACTCAGCAGTCATAATTCATTATTATTTCACTCAATTCTGTTGCAGCGTGCAACCCACTCTCACAATATATTCACATTCAATTCTGTTGCAACGTGCAACTCGCTCTCCCAATATATTCCTTTTAATCAAGTCTGTCATATATTTATTTCAATCAANATTTTCAAGTAAGTAGACAAACAATTAATTTGACGACGTATAGACACTCGTCACCTCGCTTATACGTCGTTCACATGCAATTCGTATAACAAATAATTTAAAGGTTCTATTCCCTCAAATCAAGGTTTCACGACACTTACCTCGCTTTGAAAATTCCAATCAATTATTCAACCACAACTTTTCCTTTTAAATTTAACTCCGAAACTTCAAATCTATTCACAAATAATTTGATATATTCAATACTAATCATAGGAATTAATTCCATATGAATTTATAAATTTTTCGGATAAAAATTTAAAATTTATTTAAATATTTAACAGTGGGACCCACATCTTAAATCCCAAAAAAAACTTACGAAATCCGAACACCCGTTCCGATACGAGTTCAACCATACAAAAATTGTCCAATTCCGATATCAAATGGACCTTCAAATCTTATATTTTCGTTTTTGAAAGATTTTATAAAAAGTCCAATTTCTTCCATTTAAATCCGAAATAAATGATGAATATAGACATGGATTTGTGAAATATAATCGCTTTTGGTTAAAGAACACTTACCCAATTCAAAGTCGTGAAAATCCCCCTTGAAATCGCCCAAATCCGAGACTTGAAACTCAAAAATGAGTAAAAATGACTAAGACCCGATTTTATGTATTCTGCCCAGTATTTTTGCATCTGCGGGCTTTATTTTCGCACCTGCGGTCATGCATTTGCGAGAAAAATCTCGCATTTACGAAGTAGGGCTGCCAGGCGAGGTTTCGCATCTGCGGACATTTCTATCACACCTGCGACGTCGCAAAAGCGACCAGCTTCTCGCAGATGCGGTTGCGCACCTGCGATCACCATTGAGCAGGTGCGATTATACTAGGTTCTGCCAATAACCTATTGCTTTCAACATGCTCTAAACAATCCGAATTTCGTCCGAAATACACCCGAGCCCCTCGGGACCTTATCCAAATATCCCAACAAGTCCCGTAACATAATACGGATTTACTCGGGGTCTCAAATCATATCAAATAACATCAAAATTGCAATTCACACCTTGATTCGGACTTTGAGTTTTAAACTTTTCAATTTGCAAACCTCGTGCCAAAACATATTAAATGAATCCGGAATGACTTCAAATTTGGCACACAAATCATAAATGACATAACAGAGCTGTTCAAATTTTCAGAATCGTATTCCGGCTCCGATATTAAAAAGTCAACCCCGTGGTCAAACTTAGAATCTTTAGCCTTTAAATTGATAGTTCCGTTAAATGGTCATAACTTGAGTTAGGGACCTCCAAATTAAATTTCGGGCATACGCCCAAGTCTCAAATCACGATACGGAGCTACCAGAACTGTCAAAATACTGATCCGGGTCTGTTTGCTAAAAATATTGACCAAAGTCAACTCAGTTGAGTTTTAAAGCTTTATTTCATATTTTAATTCATTTTTCACATGAAAACTTTCCGGAAAATTTTACGGATTGCGCATGCAAGTTGAGGAATGATAAATGGTG